GTGTTACTGAGGATGTGTGAAGATGCTAAATTGACTATGTGAATAAACAAATAAAGTGTAAATTTTACAGATTAAAGTGTAAAATTTACAGATTAAAGTGTAAAATTTACTGATTAATGTGTACATTTTACAGATTAATGTGTAAAATTTACACTTTAAAGTGTAAAATTTACAGATTAAAGTGTAAAATTTACAGATTAAAGTGTTTAATTTACAGATTAAAGTGTAAAATTTACAGATTAATGTATACATTTTACAGATTAAAGTGTAAAATTTACAGATTAAAGTGTAAAATTTACAGATTAAAGTGTAAAATTTACAGATTAAAGTGTAAAATTTACAGATTAAAGTGTTTAATTTACAGATTAAAGTGTAAAATTTACAGATTAATGTATACATTTTACAGATTAATGTGTAAAATTTACACTTTAAAGTGTAAAATTTAGAGATTAAAGTGTGAATTTTACAGATTTAAGTGTAAATCTTACAGATTAAAGTATAAAATTTACACTTTAAAGTGTAAAATTTACAGATTGAAGTGTAAATTTTACAGATTTAAGTATAAATTTACAGATTGAAGTGTAAATTTTACAGATTAAAGTGTAAATTCTACAGATTAATCTGTAAAATTTAAAGATTAATGTGTAAAATTTACAGATTAATGTGTAAATTTTACAGATTAATGTGTAAATTTTACACTTTAAACTGTAAAATTTACAGATTAACGTGTAAAATTTACAGATTAAAGTTTAAAATTTACAGATTAAAGTGTAAGTAAAGTGTGCAAGTGGCACTAATACGCTTCCGTATCAGAGAAATAGGTTATCATTCTTTTTATAATTGATACGTTGATTTTTAAAATTAAATCTTAAGTACATCTTACCTTGGAAAAGGATTTTGAAACACTGATTATCCCCCGTGACACAATAATATACCAATGTACATGGCTTATTTATCTGAATAACCAATGGAAAGAAGTCATATTAAGTAGGTTACGGAAATAATAAAGGAATATCTATTCTGACAGGAAACTACATGCTCAATATAGATATTATATGCAGTTGGTATAATTATACATTCTGCACTGACTATTAATCCTGAATACAATTGTAAGTATATACTTGGCATTTTGAAATAAGATTTGCTGATGAATATTTGCTAAGTTTACAAAAAAAAATTCTTTTCAAGATAACGCCATACTGATTTTCTCCTGTAGCAAGCGCATGGAAATCAACGTTTTTGAACGTGTAAGTGTCCATTGTCTTATTTGCTAATTTTTTTCTTTTACTTAAAAATTACATTTTTGTGGGGTCAATTGTTTTAGTTTGAGGGAAAATATTGTTCTGAGGGAATTTGATTTTTTTTTAGCAATAATACAAATATCAAAGTTGATATTTCGTGGTGGTTACCAATTCGTTGCTTTCTATAAAAACAATGAAGTTAGTGATTACACAGTATCATAAGAACCATAATACATTTTTACATAGTTAAACTTTTTCCTTCTTAGTAAACTTGGAATGAGAAAATGCTAATTTATTGTGCAGAAATTTCTTTTATCAAAATGGATTATTTTTTATGAAAATTGAGTTGTTCAAATTTGCATATGTTAGATTTTTGTTTTAACCGAGTACAGATTTTGTAACCAACATCATTCGAACAGAGGAATTGGTTAACCAATTACAAATTGTCATCCCTATTAACTACGAATTTATAAGAAATTTCCTTAATTAACGTCTGTTTTGTGCGAAATTTATATGTATGACTTGCATATATCAATATGAATCATTAAGATCACCAATGTTTAGCAAGTATAAAATCATCAAATGATACATTCAATACATTATAATGGAACTCTCTCTCTCTCTCTCTCTCTCTCTCTCTCTCTCGCGACAATTTGCATGTGCTATTTAATTATGAACATCTGACTTTTCCTTGATAAGGGAACAGAAGGGGAAAAACTATATGAAGATTTTATGTTACCTAAGCAGGAATTGGATATGTCTCTATGCCAATGTAAAAATTAGATCCTTTAAATTACAGCATAAGATAAGACAGAAAACGTAGGCATGTAAATCATTTAAGCTGACGGGGATTTTAAAAATAGAATACTTAGAAAACGGAGTGTATATCCTTTTACGGATAACAATTATAAGGTCTTAAATATACGGAACCCCGAACCTTCAACTGGCGTCGGAATATCATAAATATTATGGGTTCTGGATTTTAAGTTGGAAGTATAATTAGAACAAATACTTCAAAAAAAACAAAATAAGAAAATTAAAAAAAGCACAGCCAAGCGAAGCATCCCTTTGAAGCAGGAAATATTATGAACATATGCATGTATTATTATGACATAAATGAGAAATAGAACTCTTGAGCATAAACTATATTTAAGTCTATCATCGATAATGGCAATGTCATCTTACAAGATAATCATTTTCATGACGAACATTAACCAGGTAATCAAGAGTAAACATTATCATTATGTAAAATTAAAAATAAGGGAAAAAATTGTTGCAACAATAATTCGATTTTTAACATAATACAGTTTGCTTATTATCTTCGATAGAAGAGGTGGTCTTTATACACATACCTGATATAAATCAAAGGCCTGAAGGGCCTGAGAGTTGACTCGCTCTTCATTAGCTGTTCAATGTCTTTAAGGAGAGAACTGCACAAGTTTGTGCAACTTGTGTCCAATCCAATGGAAACTAGATAATTAGAATTTTTCCAAATCCAAGGGGAATAACTCTGACAAAATGATCCAATCAAACCCAAAATAAAACTCATGCCCTGTTCACACGGAGAGTTTAATTTGCATTAAAATTAATGCGACGTAAACTAATGCGAATCAAACTAATGCAAATTAAATTGCGTTCACACAACAGCTAATGCGAAGTAAACTAATGCGACTTAATTTTTTCTTCTACAGTCAGGCTTCAGTAAGTCTATTATGACCTTAATTGTAAATTACGTCATGTATGCAGATCTATCCTTTGATACAACATGTAGTGGCTGCAGGTATTCATTGATTTTAGTGATTAACATACTTTCACTCAATTTTTGAACGAAATATAGCACAAATACCGAAAACTTACCACCAATAAGTGTCCTGTAACTTAATTTTGGCCTTACGCATGCATCAAAATTTAATTCGAATTAGCTTCGCTTAGCGTTCACATGGAGCAAACGCAAAGTAATTTAATGCGCAGTATTAATTCGAATTAAACTAATTTGCATTAAATTCTCCGTGTGAACGCTAAGCACAGCTAATTCGCAGTAACTTTACGTTTAATTCGAATTAAACTACGTCTCCATATGAGTGAAAAATTCTCGAGAGGGACGTTAAACAATATACAATCAATCAATCAATCAATCAATCGAATTAAACTCTTCGTGTGAACAGGGCATTAAATTAGATATTTAGCTGATAAATATGTATACTTAATATCTTTTCAATATGTGCTACCTCTGCAAAGAAAATGAATGGAGACTGCAAATAATTGGAATATTTCTATTCCAAGGGGCATAACCTTGTGAAAATTGGTGCGAGTGTCCTCAAAACAAAACTTGACCTAGATACTCATTAAAGAATCTGTATACCAAATTTCACTACAGTATGTGCAGTTGTTGTTAAGAAAATGAATGGAAATTAAATGGGCCGACAGGCTGACAGACAGACAGCAGGCAGCAGCAAAGCAATATTCCCACCCTTCTTCGAAGGAGGTCATAAATATTAGCAGTTGCTATGATCTGAATTACAATTTAGGCAATTACTTTGAACATTGGCAGGTTTAAACTATAATTGCATCATTGTCTGGTGGTATTTTTATTCAGCTAAACAAAACTTCTAAAATATCCATATTGAAACATCAGTTTGAACAAAAGGAAATTATTAAAGAAATATAAATAAATTGGAAAACAAACTTTGTTGTAAGAACAAAATTTATTTAACAAAGATTACCTAATCTAAGACTTGAAACATACATGGAGATTACTAAAAAATGCAAGGAAACTGTTAGAACGAACAGGAAGAGATATCTTTTAAATTAAAATTACAAAACATTTGTGAATTGTATAAAATTTTAAGTGTTTAAAAGTCAAATTACAAACAATGAAGAAAGACAGTTCTACTGGTTACAAATTTCTGGTCAAAAAAGGTAATTCTTGTCATGCAAAAATGTACTCAATAGTGGAAAAAGAGCAAAGAAAATAGTTAAAAATCATACAAAGTGCAATGTTCATGCACTGGGAAGGCATTCCGTCTTTTTTAATTATATGTTTTAGATGCCAGAAATGTTCAATCAGCAAAGATAATCACTAAAACTAGAAATACATCCATCTCCGACACATAAAAGGTACATTCTGATACTTGCAAAATATTCTATTTACAAAAAAAAAAAAAAAAAAAAAAAAAACACAAACATCAGAGAAATTTAAGAAACCCATGACTCTACATGCACTTCTGCTGAGAAAAAAAATAAGAAAATATATGAGACTATTCCCCATGAACAATTATTCCCCAGAGAATTAACTGGCTATTTACTGGTAAAAAATTAACAACATTCCTGGACAAAGTTGACACAGGTATTTGAAAATTGCAAAGTGTTTTTATGTTTAAAAGTCAAATAAAAGATAATAAGAAAATGAGTTCTACAGGTACATCAGAGGGGATGAAAATTCTGGATAGAATAGGGTGAATGTTGTCACTGAATACAACATAAACATATGTAAAAATGTATTTAAAAGTCAAAAGTGAGAAAAAAAAACCAAGGACATACACACAAAATACTCAGTATACAAAGCCTCTTAGTCATGCACTATTAAGGGTATGTATGTATTGTAAAAAAAAGTATTCTTTCTACCAACATAATCACAAGAAGTAGAAAACATGTATGTATATATACATGTATAAATCAAATCAATGCAATATTTCTATTCCAAGGGGCATAACCTTGTGAAAATTGGTGCGAGTGTCCTCAAAACAAAACTTGACTAGAATGTAAGAGTATTTGACACTGTGGATACTGACTAGGTATGGAAAAAAGATATCTTGCTTCATGCACAAATTTTACAAAACCCTTCTGCATATTAAGTAAAGTCCTTTTTAGATTTTCCCATTGTTCTATAATACATAAAACTTTGAAACATTTTGTCTGTGAAACAGAAATGCACATTTAAGTAACAAATAAGTACTCAATCTCAGTTTTAGTTGTAACCTATTCTAAGTATAAAAGCAAGACATAAACAGCTAAGTGGAAAAAATGAAAAACAAACAAAGTTTTGATCTAATGTATTGAAAAAACAATTTAACCCCAAAGCTGACTCACTTTATGAATACACAAAGTCTAGGTTTTAAAATTATTTGAAAATCTGAAAAGGCCTTGCACATTTGTTCAAAAATATCTCGGAAAGAAATGAACCAAACAATCTTTTTGGTTTGTCTCTCCTTAAAAAACAATTATTTTTAAATTTACATTTTGGAAAACCTTATTTCTTTTCACATGGATTCTAAATGGAGTAGTAAGAATACATGTATTATCAAGGACAGTTAATAGGGTTTGATCAGATGTGTCCAAAATTTACTGTAAGTTGATAATTTCACCATTCTCAAGGCTCATGGATGCTCGAAAGGGCAATTTGCTTGCTAGGTTTTCTTCCACTTTCTTGATGTCACACTGCAGGAATTTGGCCATTGCACTGGATTGTACTCTGTAAGCAGGGTATAGCTCTCCATCATCAACAACAACTGATAGATAGGAAGCATATTCAATGTTGAAGGCTATTATGTCTTGGTTCAAAGTTGTTGATGTAGGTGCCTGTACTTTCTTAGAAATTAAAGAACCAAAAACAATGATATCTATTGAAATGAATAAAAAAAAAATGCAACAAGAGGAAAGATAAATTGGATGTCACAAGAAACTTGAACAAGGAAGCTGGGGTTTATCTTTTAATTAAAGAATTTTTATGACCTGTAGTTTAAATATTATGTTTAAACTAAGCACTTTAAATACAATATCACACTTACTTCAATTATAGAGCGACTGGTGGTGGACACAGATTTTTCATTATTGTAGGTTTGGACAACTACATCAGATATTTAAACATGTTGTCCGATGCCAATTTTTGAGGATGCCAGGTCACGCCGCAGAGAGACTTTGCACTTCCCTGTATCATCCTTGATGGTGACACCTTTAACCTTTGTGTCCCTGCCATTCACAGAAACAGTTCTGGCAATTTCTTCCTAAAAAGCATCAATAACATTCAAAATAAGGAAACTGTATTATCTGGGAGGGGGTGGGGGGTGGGGGGGGGGGGTGAGGGGCCCTCTACTATACCATGTTAAACAGAAACAAATTGACATTAATATTTTGAATAACTCTATCATATAATTGCAACATTCTAAAGCATCATCCCCAATCTTATTAAAAAATATCTTAAAAAAAAAAATGTTTGAAATGGTAATAATTAAATGGTAAGGAGTCTTAGAGAAGAAACAATACTTACAGCTACTATCTGTCCTCTAACAGAAAACATTTCTTTATTTGGTGACTTTTCAACGTTTCTTAGAGGAACTTCTGCTGCCTTCGGTGGAAAAGCGATTTCCCTTGCTGCAGTTTCTTTCTGAGCAGAAACTTCCACGTCTCCAATTTTGGAGACTCTTGACTTGGACGTCAAGGTGAGACTGTTACCGTCCTTCACAATGACGTTCAGTAACATAACAGAATTTCCCTCTATTGGGTCTTTCAGTTTCGACATGTCGTAGAGGATGCACTTTGCACTCATTGTCTTGTCTGCAATTCCCATTATCACATATTTCTTTTCCTCATCATTAGCGTTTGTATACGTTTTCTCTTCAGCAACAGCACAGACTTTCACAAATACAGGGGCCACATATGGACCTTCTCTTTTGCTCCTAAACAATCCTTCCAGTGTAGGCATCTGAAATGACAAAACAGAATTTTTGATGAATATGATATAATTTCTCATAATAAAACATATATACAATGATACATTATATCAAAACATTAACTTATTATAATATAATTAATTTGCATCACTAGGAACACATACCCGAAATTAAGAAATATCAAAATTACAATGATTATACGAGAGCAATAAAATGTCTCAGTGATTGATTGAAAAGACCTAAAATTTTTCCAATGTTTCTGACTTTACACTTAATTAATATAAATTGGTTTGTGGTCAGAGTAGTATGATTCCAAGGTCCCTGTTTTTTGAGAAGCTTTCAGCATTTAAATTGGTATATATATGCTCTATCAATGAATTATAATCTGTTGTGCATTCACTGATAAGCTGCTTTCACAAATACTTCTTGTAAACAAAATCACTTAAAGTTTTTTGACAGATATTGAAATCACTCATAATTATTGTGGGAATCCGAAAATTGTAACACTCTTTTGATAATTTTTTAATACTTTTTTGAAAATGTGCACTGCAGAAATTTTAGGAAAACAGTAAAATCAAAAGCCTGAAAGGCTTCAATGGCGTCGAACAAGGAAAACAATTTCAAAAGATCAGCAGATAGGTCAAGTGAGTGACTCCTGTAACATAATAATGAAATTTAAAAGGAATAGTCTTAACACAAATACAGTCTAGGGCTTTATAGCCTAATGTCCTGGTCCGAATGAGTCAGGGTTCGAATTGACCAGACATCGTCAGAAATGTCTATGCTCTATATCAATCTAATTTCTTTTCAGTCAATCGAAGACCTATGAAGGGTTTCATAAATTATTTTAATTAATTGCCATTGTGAGAGCGTTGTTCTGCTGTATAGTGATTGCATCATAACCACAAGCATGACTCTAATGTTACAAGTACGATCGACTTAAGATAGGGCGCAGTAAACAATTGGAGGAAATGGATAAATACAGTAATACTGGCATTACTGGTCAATATCGTCGGTTGTTCGGATAAAATTGGATTGTAGATCGTAAAAAGCTAAGATTAAGAAATTCAATCTTTATAGTCTTGTTGCATTCGTATTTATTTTGTAAACATTTTACTGTCTTTAAGATTGTGTGTATCACAGTAATCGGTCCCAAAATGTGATTCATATCATTCGACGCACCCTCTCTGTAGAAATTCATCCGCAACAACCATAAGGTTTTTCTTACGTAAAATTTAAACATAATATTGTTGTTTTGTAGTAGTATTAACTGAAGATACAATTGATGTAATTTTATATTCAAGCTATTATTCATTTTGAACGTTTTAAAACAAATTGGTTTACAGCTGTTGATATTTTCTATTGCGGATGCATCCACTGACACATGTATACAGTCGCGTAAACCTGACTGATTGCTAGATGACGATTGAGCAAACTGGATGCCATAAAAATTTATCATTGAGAAAGATTTATATAAATGGGCTTATGGTCAGAATAATATGTTTCCAAAGTACCCACACCCAATATATATTCAGGGTTTATGTTTGTATAAATTTGTTCTAATAAAGTATCATAATCTGTAGTATTCTCCTGTATAAGCTGCCTAAATGAATATTTTTTATTCAAATATTCAACTAAAGACCTATCATCATTCAGATTTCTATTAAAATCACCCATGATAATTATGGGATCTTTGAACTTCCCACATTTATGGAACAACTCTTCAAAGATTTTTTTTATATGTCTTCAAGGTGGCATCTTTTGGAGGACAGTAGAGGAAACACAGATGCAAAGAACTTCCCTTGAAAACAACATTCCCACAAATTATTTCTACCCCAGAATTTGACAAAATTTTGAACACCATTGAAGGTTTGTGATAAATGGCTATTCCATGGTATGGCCTTTCTTCAGCATTACCCCCTCTGTCATCACATCGGAACAATTTGTAATCAGAGATGTCATATAATGCTGAACTTTCCTCTTTCTTTAAACGTGTTTCAGACAATCCCAGTATATCTGCACCTTTTAAAATGAAGTCATTTTTAAGATCAGCAATGTGCTTATGTAAGGATCTTGTATTATGATGAATAATTTTAAATCCTTTGATATTGTATAGTAAAGGGATTGAAAAAGTTATTTTTGCATGATTTCTTAATCTACACATTTCTTCTTCAACAGCACTAGAAACGTTTATGTTTTCTTCAGAAAAATCAAGCAAGTAAAGTGACGACAAATTTTGAACTCTACTTAAGCTTACATAGTACATGTGCTCTATTTGGGGGGGGGGGGGGGGGGGCTAGATGAATAACAGCACTGGAAAGTGTACCACCTTGGGCTTTATGGATTGTTCAGCAGAAGCCAATGTGAGTGGAAATTGTCTTCTAGTAATTTGGAATGAGTTATAATAATTATACTGAAATTTTCTTGTAATTTCAAGAATTGGTGTCAAAGACAATAAAATGGAGTCATTATACAAGTGTGAATATTGCCTTCTACAATTCTTTCCAATATCGCCACTGTTAAACAAAACCCAAACAATGCTACATCTATTAAATCCATCAACCCTAAAGTCCAACTTTTTACAGTGCAAGGTGTTCCATTTGTAAGTCCATCTCTTATGTCAATATTGATGCATAATTCTGCTGGCAAGTCCTCTGCAAGATGTAAATACTTTGACAATCCTTTAGTTTTTGATGCATCAAGTGGTATTTTTGACAATATTTTTTCTTCATTTGTGGCGACATTTCCCCAGAAATTGAATCAATAGCTTCTACAACAGTCTTTTTGCTTGGACTTGACTCATCAAAAACTTGTCCATTGTAATGTGCTACCTGCTTTTTCTTTGTAAATAAATATGGTACTTTTAATGTGCTTTCATTGTCACATGATATCACTCTTTCTTTCAGAAGTTCAATATCATCAGGAATCTGATTACCCTCTCGAAGTCTGTTTAACAACTATGAAAATCTAAGATCATCCTTTTGTCTCATTATTTTGGTGAGTTCAAAAAACGAAAACAAATCTTTCCACAAGTTAGGACCTAAAATTTCGAGTTCACCACCAGTATTATACCCTGTGGCAAATACCCATGAATCCATTACAGGTTTCAACTGGAATAAATCTCCAAAAGCTATTATTGAAACTCCTCCAAATGGTTTGGTACTTCCCATGATTTCCTGCAGTCTTAGATTGATGAAATTAAACATTCTCTTTCCTACCATTGAGATTTCGTCAATAAATATTACTTTTAGATATTTGTATTTTGTCTGGTATGTACACAATTGTTGCATATCTAATAGTTTGAATTTAAAACCTTGGTCAGCTGGTATATTAAAGGCAGAATGAACAGTAAGTCACCCTACATTGTAAGCTGCTTTTCCTGTTGGAGCACAAACCAAAACTTGACAATTATCTGGGTTTTCACCTGGTTTATGAGAGTAGAACTTCAACAAAGCTTGATAAAGAGCTTTCAAAAGGACACTTTTTCCAACTCCTGCTCCTCCTGACAAGAAGTTGTAAATAGGTTGTTTCTCAGTCTTAATATAATGAAGAACATGGTAAAAATATTCCTTCTGTTTTTTATTTAAGGATTGAATTATCTTTGTGTACTCATTATCCAACGTTTCTCCTGAAAGTTGTTCATCATTATTAGGTAACTGTCTTCTACCAATTCCAAATTCTACTCCTAAATCATAGTTTTGTTCAACATTAGGACCTGGGTTAAAACAACCAAATTCCTCTGAATTTTGTGTTCCATCATGCGTATCTAGTTCATCATTGTGCTGGAGCTCTGTTACAGGAAAAGCATTCTCATAGTCTGCCCGTACTTCTGATTCAAGCTTAGAGATATTTATTGCATTTGAATGTACAAATTTTTCCCTGATTTGCTCTATGACACTTTGACATAAATGGTATCTTTCTTTATATGAATTACAGTCTTTATTGATTGCATTCTCCTTTCTCCATGGAATATAAAGCATTAATAATTCCCTGTAATAATTCTCTTGATCATGATCTTTATTAAATCCAAAAGAATATATTATGCGTGGAATTCTCCTTCTTTTTAAGATAGAACCATCCCTTGCAAAATGGACTTCACGTTCACTTAAAACCATGCGATTTGCATCTCCAAGACTGTTCTCTTCATTTAACTCATTGCCTTCAATGTCATCAGGGTCATCAACTGTGTCCAACTCATAATTATCTTCTGGTAACTCAAAAGACATTGCTTCTGCATCATTTCTTTTATAATATTCATCTTCTTTCTTTGGGAACTGAATATTGAAAAATGCTACATATTCTGCTAAACAGTACTTTTCCATTGTAGATGGTCGTCTTTGGTATTTTTTGATATTATTATCTGCCTCAATAGATGTCGAGTTTTTGGGCATGTCATTCAAAACCGAGTTTGATTTAATCAACACAACTCTCTCACTTTCAACATTGGTATTCATAAATGTGAACTCTCTTGTGGCTTTCCTCAGAGGCATTTGTAATAGTATATATGCTGCTTCTTGTGCACCAACTTCAACATGACTCAGAAATGCATTACCAACCTTCCTAACCTGATGTCTGATGTCGCTTTCATGATCTCTTGCTTCCTCACATGCACGTCGTAGTAAATTTGACATTCCTCTTTGTCCCTTTGATATGTAAGATACAATGTATGCTGCACATGCATAGGGATCAAGAATATACTGGATATCTATATTTGCTTCCCAACATTTAAGCAAAGTTTCATTGTAATTATTTACTCTTATTTCTGATGTATTCCTTTGCAAAAAAACCTTGGCTTGACCTTCCTTTATATCTGACCTTAAAGCAAGCACATATTCCTTATAAGATAAATTCAAAGACAGCAAAAACTCATGAAAATCCATCACAACATCTGTTCCCAATTTCATCTCTTCAAGTGCCGATTCAATACTTTTAAAATCTTCTCTAGCTTTTTCATAGTTTTCTGTTTCTTTCCCCAGTCCATGCAAAATCATTGTCTTGTCCAAAGGTGGCAATGGAAACCCAAATCGACAAATTGCCTGATTCTTCTTCCTACAGGTATGAGCATGTCTATGTGTTTGATAATTCACCAGTTCTGCTATGTTGTTATTTTTCTTGCATGTGATGTATAAGTTAACAAAATCAGCAACTTCCTCAGCACTATGTTTAGAAATTGAAGGAGCATCATTTACCCATACCAGCATATGTATATGGGGAGAACCCCTTTGCTGAAACTCGACACGATAGAAATAGTCCTTGATTTTACCAACTGGTTGGGTCTTATTACATAAAACATCATTGAGAAATATTTGGACTTTGTGGTTAAAATACCTAGAACATGTTATGGGGTCTGACTGAATAAGCTTGCATTTCGCTGTCCATGGCATATTCAATAATTCTGTATCTGAGTAATTCTTTTTAACTATCAAAAGACCAAGACAATGAAGAAGTGGTAACCATTTAGTTTCAGCAGAGGAAAAAGAGCAAAACCATGTTTGAATTCCAAGTTGTCGGATCATTGCAAAGATATCCTTTTTTGCGCGCTCCCAGTATGGTGGTGATCCTCGAAGAGTCCTTAGTACTTTGTAACCCTCATTCAACTTCAGAATTTGGTTTACAGAATCATAAGACAGCACTTCAGCGTCAGTAACTTTCCTATCCTTAAGTTTACATTTTCTCATTGCCAATGATACTTTATCAGCAATTTGTTTAATCTGAACTTTTTTTAGCTTGTAAAAAATATTTGTTACATTCTGTGCTACCCTTCTATCAATATTTCTAAGTTCCCATTTACAGATAGTGTTGTAATGCAAAGGAGTTTCGCTTTTATTATTGTCTTCTCTTGGCTGTCCGCAATATATTGTTGGAAAACAGAGAAACTCAGAAAACCTGTCTTGAAACATGCTTAATGGATGATTTCCCTCTGCTGGAGCGATACTAAGTATCCTATTAAACTCCCTGAAGTCTGCAGGATGTAAAAGAGTGTCACAATTTCCAGCACAGTCCTGTGTATCATCATCTTCAAGGGTATCAGTCTCCGTTATTAGCCCTTTATTTTGACCATTATCATTATGCACATTTTCCTGAGAAATTTTGTCATCATATTGTGAGACTGGTGACCATTGTTCATTTACCAAAATACCCTCATTCTGAAACAATTTGCTATGAGATACTAACCATTTAGCAGCTTTTATTATTTTCTCAGGACGTACTTGTTCAAAAGCTATGTAACTTTTGAAATTTAAACTCCTTCTAAATTTGACAGGAATTGTTTCACTTTCACTCATGTTTCTTGGAATTAATTTAACAGTTTTGTTTACATCTGCAGGAACATTTACAACATTTCCCTTAAGCCCCAATTGTCCACCCCTGGGTAATTCTTTGATTTTCATGAAAGGGATTCTCGGAGATATAAGGAGTTGTTCTAATTGTGTAAGTTCTTGCAATTCAATGGGGCTTATAGGAAATTGTATTTGATTACCAATAGAACATGGTGGAACTTTATTTTTTTTCATATACCCATGAAAATGATTACAAATGTACTCTTTATTACAAACACTTTTAGTACCCTTAATACACTGTGCAGTCAAATTTTCTTTGTAGTTATCTCTGTTCATGTAGATCACAGAATGTCTGAAAAATACTTGACTGCAAGAAGTACACACATATTCAGGTCCTTTTGAAACCATCTTATGAAATTCAACTACAATGTCAGAGTGTGGATCACCAAGCCTTTTTTTCTTTGGTTGAGAAACACTTGTACTTGTGCTTGTCGTATTCAATGTTCTTTTTCTACAATTCTGGGAATCATCGGGAACAAGAAATGGTAAATCTATCAAAGGGATTTTTGCTTGTTCAGTGTTTACACATTGACTTGTGTTACCACCTGAGGAAAAGGTTAATAACTTTCTTGAATTATCCAAATCATTTGGTACATTACAAACTTTTATTCCTTTGCGTTTATATCTGGCTACAGATGATGCTGAAATTTCTATCAAGTTAAGTCCATGGAGCTCAAATTGTTCATTTAAGGAATCTTCATGTGATGTTAATGACATAAATCGTGACCTTATATGTGCACTTAGTTCCGCTACGTTGTTTTTCTTGATAATTACACTTGTTCCGTTACTGCTACAAAGACCTTGATCATTTCTACTATGAGAATCAAAAACTAAAAATTCTTCCCTAAAATGCAAGATACCAATAGCATTGCCTTTGCAAATGAACACAGCATATTTGTCAATAGATAATGATGCCATTAAAGCAAATTCTAATCGCATTAAAGGATAGTCTCCATTGTAATTATTTGATATGTTTCCAAAATATGTTTTTCTGACACTCCATGACGATGCCTTTTCTTTAAAACAGATATATTTTGGAACATCAGTTAGCAATAAATATTCATGTTGAGATTCCATTATGTTTTTCGAGGATTTGTAGATGTAATCTCCAATATACAATACCCTATCTAAATCAGAGGCATGCCACACATTCTCACTCAATGGTTTCAACATAAATTGAAGGAAAAAACTCAAACAACAAGGTACACATTGTCTTCCACGTGAATCATCACTAAATATATCTTGCCCTTGATGCAAATTACCCTGCAAGGGAAATATTGTAGAAGTGGGGCCAGGATTTTCTTCTACATCACCACACAGTACTAAAAGGATGGCACAGAGCAATAAATACTTGTGAACATTGAAACTCAACCAAATTTGTTTTCATTAACTGAGAAGAATGGATCAATTTGTTGGTGGAATTATGGATCCCGAAATGACATCCAATTCTACATCTCCATGTATTTAAATCTACACCCATTTTTTTTTTTATTTAGTCAGAAAAGTTATAGATTTTCAAATGACAACAAAAATTTTCAATAATACAAAATGGTCTCAATTGTTTTGTATCCAAGAAGTTGATATTTATTCTCTGTCTCCAAGTTTAAACTCCTAAGTCAAGTACTCCAAAGTCAATTGTCAAGATTATTTTTGTAGACTCTGTAAACATCCTTATCTCCAAGACAATCTCCAAGATGCTTCTCCAAAGAGAATCGTGTGCAATGAACCGGAACTACTTTCACTTCTGAGAGTTGAGAGTTAAAACTTACAAAACATAACACAAAAACAGCGGCTGTATACGACCTTAAATTATGCAAAAAGTTATGCGCATCGTATGAAATTCATCACCTAAATATGTTTACTCTAAAAATTTTAATTTCCGCAGCACACCGAGTTATTTAAGTGAGCGTTAGGTACGTATTATAAACGTATCAGGTTTTGTACTACAGTGTATACATTAAAGCGAGGTGCAGGAATAGCAAACAATTGAATTAACAACCGTTGTCAATCAATACTAAATACAATAATTTGCACAAGACACAAGAGATAATTAAACAAAAACAATGACTTACTCTTGCAACTCTTGCTGATTCAGTGATTGTCTCCACAAACTCTGCTTCCGTTGATTGTTGTCTGTTTACATGTACAGCTTCCCGCGGAAAATGTCACGTGATTTAATATTAACATCAAGTCGTACGTAAAATAATTTTAAAGCGAGAGTATAGAAATCGGTTCTGTGGGGAATATTTTCATCAAATTAATTCTAAATATTCTCTTTCATTTCACCATTTTCATACAAAATCACTTTCAAATACTCCGAGGCAGGATATGTATAAGTTTTACAGGGTTTCTAGATGTGATACCTTTATGTACTTTGAGAAAACCCCTTAAAATGTGCACTCGGCATATATTCATACTCATGTCATGTGTATACAATGTTTTATTTTTGAATACCGAAATAAAAGTTTTAAAAATACTTAAATATAGAATTGTTAACAATATTTCAACACAATCCAAAATTCAACTCACTCAAAAAATTATTTTTTACGACTTCAAGGTATTAATTCACAGGATTTTTTGCAACCGATGTAGGAATACAAAAAGAAGGTAGTGATTTGGCAAATCCGCCTTGATATGGCGCTAATGACAAGGATCATCTCGCTTCGCGAGCCGACTCAATAATTAAAAAAAATCAAGACAGCAGATTTTTCATATTCATTGAAGAGTGTAAATTCTACATTTTGCTTAAGTCAATATAAAATGTAATTTTTAATGAATATGTATACTTTTCATCTAGGCTAGATCAATTATTAATTCTTCTGAATGAAAAATATGGAGGTAATGAACAATATTCCAGAGCAAACAAGAGGCCCAGGGACCACAGGGCTCACCTGAGAACATCAGCTAGGAAAAAGCACATATCAGATCAGAACTCAAAGGTTAACTGAGGGGGGAGGGGGGCTTGAATTTTAACCCCCCAGGGGGTCATGATTTGAACAAACTAGAATCTACCCTACATGAAGTTGATTCCAATAAATATCACTTATCATTGCTTCGAAGTACTTGAAAAGAAGATTTTCAAAGATTTTTCCTATATATTTCTATGTTAAAATTTTAACGGCCATTATGGCCCCACTCTACCCCCGAGGGTCATGATTTGAGTATATCTGAATCTATACTACCTGAGGATAATTCACAAAAGTTTCATCTTTCCTGGCCCAGTGGTTCTTGAGAAGAAGATTTTGAAAGATTTTCCCTATATACTCCTATGGAAAACTTTGATCGGCCGTTATGGCCCCACCCTACCCCCGGGGGTCATAATTTGAACACATCTGAATCTTTACTACCTGAGGATAATTCACATGAGTTTCATCTTTAATGTCTCAATGGTTCCTGAGAAGAAGATTTTTAGAGATTTTTTCCTATATATTCCTATGTAAAACTTTGATCGGCCATTTTGGACCCACCCTACCCCCGGGGCCATGATTTGAACAAATTTGAATTTACACTTCCTGAGGATGATCTTACATGAGTTCCATCTGTCCTGGCCCAGCAGATCTCGAAAAGAAGATTTTGAAAGATTTTTGCAATATATTCCTATGTAAAACTTTGATCGGCCATTTTGGCCTCACCCTACCCCCCGGGGTCATGATTTGAACAAACTTGAATCTACACTACCTGACGATGATTTCTCATGAGTTTTATTTTTTCTGTCTCAATGGTTCTTGAGAAAAAGATTTTTAAAGATTTTTTTATATACTCCTATGTAAAAATTTGATCGGCCATTTTTGCCCCACCCTACTCCCAGGGGTCATGATTTGAACAAACTTGAATCCACACTACCTAAGGATGATTCCACATGAGTTTCATCTTTCCTGGCCCAGTGGTTCTTGAGAAGAATTTTTTTTTTTTAAATACCATTTATTTTTCTCTGATTCATAATTATCTTCCCTTGGAAAAGGGTGTGTGACCCTTCTGTTGAACCACAGGAGTTCGCGTACCCATCAATTTTGCCGAGATTTTAAGTAAATAAAAAAGATACGTAATACCTATATTAATAACACAAGGAGTGCAACCGTTGTCCGCGACGCCATGACGTGACGTCATGGGCGGTCAATTTACCCAAAAGGAACCAAAAAAACAATGTCAAATTTTGTTACATTTATATACCTAAAATTTCTTAATTTTGTTTAATTTTGATAATCAAAGAAGCATACACAATTAACTAGAGATAATGATATTACTTTTAGATAAGAGTACAAGTACTTGTACCTCCCTGTTTTAAATTTTCTTGAATGTCTACTAACTTGTCTCTGGTTTCTATTCGCATATGATCTCAATCATCTAGATTAGCATTTCAGGCAGTTTTGTTCCTTTTTGTGTAAATGGAGTAGCCCGTGACGTCACGTCATGGCGTAGCGGACAACGAATATTTGAGCGAAGTTGTGGAGAAATGTCGACGCTACTGCTGCAAAACATGCGTTTGAAATCATATGCATTAACAGCCATAAAGAATGGTCACTTCCAAAAAGATTGGTTTGTGTTTTATAATTTTCGATTGCAGATTAATTTGCGACAGCCTTGACATTAAGGTAACCGTCTAGGGGTGTGCTTTACAATATATTTATTATCATGCAACATATATACAAACACAGTGGGTTCTGGCCCGGGTAGACTTCCCGCTCTGCTGCTGTCCTAGACACGTCCTGTCTGCTCGGCATCCAAGTGTAAAAGAGAGGGAGTGCGACTATCCCGCCGTCTGACGTAAAACAGACAGTAAGTCGTACCGCGGGACAGTCGCACAGATACTAAACTCCCCCTGTTTTTTGAATGGCTGGATTCTACCACAGGAAAGAGGGTCCAGAACCATCTCCATCGTTGGGGCGCTGTAAACGCCCACCCAGACTAACTGCCCAAGAATAACAAGTGCCGGAGCAAGCTCCAGTCTAAACCACTACAAGGATTTACACAAATTTACCAGGTGGTATTTCTGGGATAATTCCCAGTCAACCTCTAACAACTTCTGTATAACATTCACCGAGTGGGCCAAGGTCACCAGGCCCAATAACAACTCAGAAACTGACAAAACTTACACATTAGGCTCTGGAGGGCAAACTTGCCCTCCGGCGTCGCCCACGCCTCCGCCTTGATCTGTACAAGCGACAAGTACTTTTCTCATCTGGTGTCGATTCATCAGACAACCAGGGACTGCCTGAATCATACGGGGCTGTCCCCATTTCTGCAACATGGTCCTTGGTGACCTCTACCTCTGGGTATGGGCCCCTACCCACACAACTCGGTAATCCCCAGGAAAGATGACCATAGGCCACCTTATTAAGAGAAGGTTGGGCTGGTCCTAGGGATAGTGATTCGACACCGATATCCTGTATGGCAGAATCCAAGAGGAACTCTCCAAACATCTCTACTCCCTGGCCTGGTATACTTAGTGTACTTCCGGGATGGATCAGAGGCGCCACACTTCCAACGTCCATAACTAAACGGGGAACAGACATATGCCTGTCTGCCTCAACTAGTTGGCCTTCTGTCAAGGTCACTCCTTCCTCTGAAATACCACCAGACCTTCTGAACTCCACCTTTATGGCCTCATCCCCCATAGTAAGGGTGCCTTTCCCCAAGTCTAACTAGGCTTTCCGGGCACGGAGAAAATCCATGCCCAGCAACATAGAGTCCTGTATTTGGGCAACATAAAGTTCCATTTCATGCTCTTGCTGACCAATACACAGAGTGACAGGCCCAACTATAAATCCTTCAAACTCGGTGTTTTCTTCGGCCTGTCTCATGGTCACATATTCTAAGATTGGGGGCTTAGGCTCCAGCTTATCATACATTTGGTCGACAAAAAGCTGACCTCAGCCCATGTATCCACTACTGCTGTAATCTCCATGCCTTGCACGCACAGGCCAACCATTAAGCCTTTATATCCGCATAACCGCACAGTGGGTATAGAGGGCTCCTTCAATCCCACTGCCACGGGTGACCAGGAATTACCCATGCCTGCTCGTGACATAAGATCAACACCACATGGGTCCATCCTCCCCAGGTCTTTGGGTTTATCACAAACCATAGCTGGTCCAAACGACTCCAGAGTGAAGTGGGGAGTTACAGTCCCCACTTCCTTTTCCATGGTGGCCACTTCCTCCTCAGCCAAGCAAAGCTCCGGTGATGGCTGCATCCCAAATTGATCTTTCAGCCTGCGGCGCTTGTGCCGGCGCCGCACACAGAAACGGGAAACACTGATCCCCAACTCCTTGGAATCCGACCTAGGGAACGTCTCCACAGGGAGTCCTCCCATACTGGTCCCGCCCCTTTGCCCGTCAGTAGGCACTGTCTTCTCTGCAGCTCTGGTGGGATAATCTCTATGGAAGTGCCCCACTTCTCCACACCTAAAGCATACAGCAGGCTTCCGGTCCCGCTCCGTCCATCTGGATGACGGGGTACCACTCCTCTGATGTTTCAGAAGGGGGGCAGCTTCCCTCTGCCTTATCAACTCCTCTAGTTTTTCTATCCTCCTCTGGAGGGCTTTAAGCTCCTCCCCAGCAGCAACATTTATTTTCCCGGGATCAATCTACTTAAGGTCATGAGCAGAATCCAGCTTTCTCATTTCCCTTGATGGCTTAGGCCTGTGACGCCGGGAGTGCTGATAGTATTGCATGTGTTCCACGTCCACTGTCCGGGGATGTCATCAAGTGCGTAAATACCAGCATCTCTGTCCTCAGCTCCATAGCATAGCCGAGGTATAGCGTGAGTGTGCACATCGGGCACACTGGGGAAGGCTCGTGTCGCCAAAGTCAGGACTTTGTCGGCCAACTGATGTAGTGACTCCCAAGGGTTCTGGCTGGCAGACTGAAAGTTAAGTTGATGAGTGAGATCGGCGGCAGAGGAGCCAAAACGCTTCTCAAATCTCTGCAAGATCTCACTTAGGCGGAGAGGGTTACTGGTTTCTAACAGAAGGGTATAATACTCGCTTGCTGCCCCTTCATGGGAAAAACAGAACTGGTCATGCTATTCCTCTTCAGTCCACAGCTGACTGCGAGATATCTTCACAAACTAATGCAGAAATGCCTTCCAGCTGGTCTTACCATCATACCTGAGGTCCTTGTACCTGGGCTTGCTCACAGCAGCTGCCCTACTGGTGTTCTGTGTGGGTTTATTAATGCTGCTATCCTGGTGCGCCGGGACAGGCTGACTAGTATATTGTCCCAGCTTGGCTGTACCATGCACATGTGCTAACCTCTCCCCCTCCCTTCCAACCTTCCAAGGTTGTGGTATCGAGATAGGCAGGACTACAAGTCGATGACATGGCGATACTATGATGCTGTGATGTACTGGGCATAGTCATACCTAGGTGTGAGGTCTGAATATCCTCACCTCTGTACCATGGGGATTGGGTGTGATCGGGAAATTTATTTCCAGAAAATTTCGGTATAATTGATAGGTACGCGAACTCCTGTGGTTGAACGAACTTGAATCCCCTTTACCCAAGGATACTTTGTAGCAAGTTTGGTTGAAACTGGCCCAGTGGTTCATGAGAAGAAGATGAAAAATGTGAAAAGTTTACAACGACGACGACAACGACGACGGACAACGGATAAATTTTGATCAGAAAAGCTCACTTGAGCCTTTAGTTTTGTGCATGAAGGCTCGCAAAATAATTT